CGGCCTCGAGGTGTCGCTGCGCCGGGGCCCCTTTGGGCCGTACGTGCAGCTCGGCGGCAGCGCGGCGGCCGCCGCCGAGAAGACGGCGTTGCCAGACGTGGCCAAGCTCAAGGTGGCGCAGCTGCGGTCGGAGCTCGAGGCGCGCGACCAGCGCCCTCCTAGACCTTTCCTAGACCTTTCCTGGACCTTTCCTGGACCTTTCCTGGACCTTTCCTAGACCTTTCCTCGAGGCGCGTGACCAGCGCCCTCCTCGGGAGGGGCACGTCCACGACGCGTCCATGGCATGTCCCCCGCAGGCGCGCGGGATGCCATCCTCGGGGCGAAAGGCGGAGCTGGTGCCGCGCCTCCTCGAGGCGCCCGACTTGCGCGAGAGGGTGCCGCGCAAGCGGACGACTCTGCCCGCCGAGCTCGACGCCGAGGCGGCGGGACCTCGAGACGCCGTTGCGGCGAATTAATCAATGAGGCGTCAGTGTGTTGATTCACTAGGCGGTGGACCTCGAGACGGCGCTGCGGCTGCTCTCGCTCCCCGCGTATTTGGGCGACCACCCGCGGCGGGGCGGCGCGATGCGGGTCGGGTACGGCCGCTTCGGAGGGTACGTTCGCCTCGACGGAGACGGGGCCAAGGACGAGCCCGTCTTCGCCTCCCTCCCACGCAACCTCACCGTCTTCAACGTGACCGCCGACGAGGCCTCCGCCCTGCTCGACCGCAAGCTGGCGCGGCCTCCGCGGCCGCGGCGAGGGGGCGCCGGCGTGGCAGCAAAGCCGCGCCGGAGGTGACGGCGCGAGAAAAAGGAGTAACACGCGTACACAGACTGTGCTGCATAGTGCTTTTCCTCTCATTCCTCTTCCTGAATTTTTGGATTTTTGCAAAAAAGTAAGCCAACAAGGAGCTGATACGCGCGCGCCCGCGGCCTCAGTGCGGCTACCGTGTGGTGCGCGAGTCGAGTTCGGAGAGGAACGCGGCGTAGTCGGCGTCGGCCAGCGTGCTCGGCGCGGCGCTCGTTGGCACGAGCTTGACTGCGCCGGAGCGGTCCCCCTTGCAGTCGCGCGCCGAGTGGCCGGCCGACCTGCGGCGCACGAGGCGCGGGGGCGTCGAGTCGGCAGCTGGGGCGGGGCGGGGCGGGGCGGGGCGGGAGGTGGCGGGCTGTGGCGGCGGTGGGGAGGGCGGCGGTGGATAGGGCGGCGGACTGCGAGGGCGGCGGCGGGGAGGGCGGCGAGGGTGCGTCACCCGCAGACGGAGCAGCGGACGCCGGCCATCTGGAAGGTGGTCCTCCGGTTGGGGCAGACCGAGTGGTGGTGGCCCTCCTAAGAATGAGGAACCAGGCGGGAGGATCGTGAATTACCGACTCCAAAGTAGCACGGAGGCGTGGTGGCGGCCCTCCTTTCCGCAAAACGCGCACTCCTCCTTGTGGACCGTCTTTGCCATCGCGAGCTTGGTGAGCTGCGTATCGTCGTACAGCGCGAGCGACGTCGACTCGCCCTTTGGCTCGAGGATCCCGAGCCTGCGCCGAGAATGCGCCGAGGCCGGGGGTAAGGGAGGCGGTCTCGCGCACGTGATTTCGGAGCACCGTCTGAGTGCGAGGGGCAGCGAGCGGTGCATCGGAAGAGGGCGGAATACGCGTCCGCTCGGTGTGCTCCTCTTGTGCTCCGCTTCTAGGCTCCCGAGCACAGCTTGACGCGGGCGAGGTCCAGCTTCTCCTCCGTGTCGGCCTGTTCACAGCTGCAGCCGTGAGGAGACGCCGTTCACACCTCGACAGCTTCTCCTCCGTGTCGGCCTCGAGGAGGACATGCATCGGCTCGGCGTCCTCCTTGTCCTCGACGCGGTACTGGCCGCGCCCCGCCTTCTTGATCTCCTTGGGGCCGTCGTGGCGCAGGCGCGTCCCCTTGCCGCGCAGGTACAGCGTCGCGCCCGTCTCCGCCTCGAAGCGCCGCTTGTTGATCCCCTCCTTGCCAATCAGGATGGCGACCCAGTTCCGCTCGAAACCGCCCTCCGGGTTGAAGCGGTTCGCCTCGGCAACCTCCGGGATGTCGATCCGGACCTACTCCCGGGTCCTCCCGGGTCCTCCCGGGTCCTCCCGGGCCCTCTCGGGTCCTCTCCGGGAGGTCGATCCGGACCGAGTGCGTCACGGCGAGGCCCTGGGTCTCGACGCCGCGGTCCTTGCGGAAGGCGGCGAGCTTCGACGACAGCTCCGACACGGCGATCGCCTGCCGCGCCTGTGTGCGCACGCGACGGGCGGGTCGGGGCCGCGTCACGGGCCGGTGCGGCGGCGGCGGCGGTGCGGCGGCGGCGGTGCGGCGGCAGCGGCAGTGAGAGTAGAGTGGGCGGGTAGCCAGGCCGGTGTTGTGGGAGTGCCAGAGAGCGCCTTGGCTTTGGCGGCCTCGTCCTTCTCGTCCTGCTCGGCGTCGCGCGTCGCGAGCTCGTTCGGCCCGCCCCAGCGCGGCCGCTTCCCCTGCTGCAGCGACTGCGCGAACGCCGCCGCCGCCTCGGCGCGCTTCGCCTCTGCAAACCGCGCCTCATCCTCCGGCGTGGCCGCTGGTCGAGCACCGCTCCCCGCGCCGCGATTCGCCGCGAGCGCCGCGGCGGCCGCCTGCGCCGCGGCGGCGAAGTTCCCCGAGGCGGCCGACCCGCCTCCCGCGGACGGCCCGGCGCAGGCTGCGCACGCTGCCGCCGCGCTGCTCGTGCCCGGCTGCCGGCCCGCAGCGAGTGCCGCGGCAGCCGCGCGCGCCGCGGCGAGGGCCGACGCCCTCCGCTCCGCCGACGCCGCACCGTGGCACTCCTCGAGCACGGCGATGGCCGCCGCCGCCGCCGCAGACGACAGTGGCGCTGACATCGTTGTACGGTGACACGGAAGAAAACTCGCGCGTAAGGAACGGACGTCGGAAGAGAGATAGCAAGAGGCGGAGGCCCAAGGGTGTGCGACGGCTAGTGCACCACACCCCTCTCCTTAAAATCCCTGTGTGGTGGCGGCGTGCCGTCCTCCCATCCCTCCCTTGAGCTGTGCGTTTTCTTTCTTTCTTTTTACGGACGTCGGCACAACTTCCAGTTGGCCGGTGTCAGTCGAGGCCCTTGACAGCCCTACACTCGCATAATAATGTAGGTATCCCATAAAAGGAGGTTTGAATACGCCCACCCACGAAGGCTTCTTTCTCAAGGCTTGGTGAGTGGGTGGGGTGGCCTCAGGCATCCCCAAGTCAAGCGGGAGCCTCTGCGGTGCCCCATAAGAAGCTTAGATAGTGATTCTCGAGACTAGTATTCGTTTGAGGAAACGCAAACAGTACTTGGCCTAGAGTGAACCATATAACTCGACTTTGAGAGATCATTTCTCAAAAAGCCGGGAGATAGCATTGCATTATCGATCAACACTTCGATAGACCGAAAGTAAGATCGTTCGGTGCAGAAACCCCGGCCATGCCCATGTAACGCAATTGTGCTCGATTTTTTGCAACTCGCGGACCCGAGAAGTCTGGAGCTTCAGCTGGCGAATCATGCCGCTCTCGGCACAGAAGCAGCGCGAGCGCCGCGCCGCGCAGCGCGCTGCCGAGGCTCAGGACGCGGCTCGCGGGCAGCGCAACCGCCCGGCGCCGAGCCGGTGCTAGGCCGCCTCCGCTGCGCCTGCTTCCTTGCGCGCCGCTGGACGTCGGCCGAGAAGACCGCTTCCCTCTGGGGACCCGACTCCGCGAAGATCGCGCGCGCGTCGTGAGTGGCGGCGCGCGCGCGATCTCCGTTCCCGGGCACGCCGGTCGCAGTGGCATGGGCTCCCAGGCTCAAAAGCAATCCCGTCAACAGCGAGCGAGCGCCGCCGCTGCTCCTCCTCCCGCCGCCGCTCACCGAGACTCGGTGCCGCCGTTCTCGCCGCCGCCGCCGCCGCCGCCGCCGCCGCCGCCGCCGCCGCCGCCGCCTCGCGCCTCGCCTCCGTCACCGCCGCCCTCCATCTCGCAGCGGCGCGTCCCTCTCTGATATGGCGCGGGCGCCTCGCTCTAAGTAAAAGTGTGAGGTTTGGTGGAGGCTGTAGCGTCGTCGCGCGTAAGAAGCGTGGTGAAATTTAGAAAAGGAGTTGCGGTGTTGATCGCCGCGGGAGCCCTCTTATTGTTGCATATTAGCCGATACCACCACGCACATCCCCATCAAGCATCATCCAAACGGTGTACTGCTCACGCATCGCGCACAGATTGCACCGACACTCCGGGGAGTGTACGAGTGACACTCCCCGGAGTTGTTCGGGAGATCACCATTGATTGTGGCGCCCTACTTCGGTCGCCTTCCCTTGGTCGCTGCTGTCTCTCCTCTGTCGGTCAAGAATCCCACTTCCCAGCGCCGTGTCCAGGATCACCGGCAGACCACCGCCCGCGTCATCAATCACGAGGAAACGGCCTACTGTTGCCCAGCCCCCAGCGCTCCGGAAGCCTGTGCGATCTGAAGGTGTGCACACGTGGTGGGTGCTTACAACTGTGACCCTCTTCATAAACTGCGGCTGGCCACACACACACACATACTTCACTCCACAGGCACGCCCCTTCTTTCTCGCATATCAGTCTGGGCATCAACCGTTGATAGCATCGGTCGATAATGACCTGGCAGCTTCTGCTCGTACAGGAAGACTAGAATAGAGGGATGCCAGCCCTGTGAGAGCTGCTGGTTCATTTGCGGTGAGCGGCCAGATTGCTGCTGGTTCACCTGCGTGATTCAGGTAACCGGCGTGACGCCGAGCCGCATCCTCTACACCCGCGAGAAGGTGCGTGCGTGGTGCGCCCAGGAGGCGACGAGGAGAGTGGAGTTCTGGTTTCTGGAGAGACCCGCGGCGCTACTTGGGCCCATGCGTCGTGTAGCTCGCTCCCTGGTCCAGGCCCTCGCGGCCGGGCATGTCCGCGCCTCTACGACCGCCAGTAGCAAAAGGCGCCCCCGCGCGTCAGCTCCCACGCCGCGTCAAAAGCGGCGCGCACCGGCGGGGGAAGCTCTGCGGCGCCGCCGTCGCCGCCTCCACCCTCCCCAGCGCCACCGTCGCCGCCTCCACCGTCCCCTCCTCCCCCGTCCCCGCCGCCGCCGTCCCCGCCGCCGCCGTCCCCTCCTCCTCCGTCGCCGCCGCCGCCGAGCCCGCCTCCGCCCTCACCACCTCCGCCATCCCCGCCGCCACCCTCCCCGCCTCCTCCATCGCCTCCACCGCCCAGCCCGCCACCACCGTCGCCCCCGCCACCCTCCCCTCCTCCTCCGTCTCCGCCGCCCCCGAGCCCACCGCCGCCCTCACCTCCACCGCCATCCCCGCCGCCTCCGTCTCCACCTCCGCCCTCTCCTCCTCCACCCTCGCCCCCTCCGCCTTCGCCGCCTCCGCCAAGCCCGCCGCCTCCCTCGCCGCCGCCGCCCTCGCCGCCGCCGCCTTCGCCGCCACCACCCCCGCCGCCCTCGCCTCCGCCGCCCTCGCCCCCTCCGCCCTCGCCGCCGCCACCGTCCCCGCCGCCGCCCTCGCCGCCACCTCCCAGCCCGCCTCCCCCTATTCCGCCACCACCCACGCCACCTCCGCCAAGGCCGCCTCCGCCCAGCCCGCCTCCGCCGTCGCCACGACCACCGTCACCGCGGCCGTCATCGCAGCCGCCTCCATCACCGCCGCCTCTAAGACCACCGCCACCCTCACAG